TAGAAAAATGAAAAAGCGCAAAAAAACCTCGAAGCAAGGCGTTTTGCTCTCGCTTCGAGACGCTGCTTTTTAGAACACTGAGTAGGATTGAGTAAGAACGACTTTTTGATCTTTTCTAATGATTTCAATAGTAAGATCACATTCGAAAGTCTCATACATTTCATATCAAGAATTTTAATACTATGTCAAATTCAAAGATTAACATACATTTACGTATAGACACTGTTGGGTTTTGATACCTAATATATTTGGGCTATGATGTTTAGATGGTTCAATTATTTTCGTAGGATTCAGTCGATGAGTGGCATGTTTATCAAACACCATATTGATTTCTTAACCCAAACTAACCTTTAATATAGTTGCCTAATAATATTAACCTACAAAGGATAGAATAATGGTGGCTAAAATTTCGTAAAGGAAGGGAGAAGAATGAAAGCAATGGTCCAACACAAAGTCTCCGAGAATCGGTTTCTTCACAAACAATGGGCTAATACATATCATAGTTTTAGGCTAGGCGAAGGGATGGGTCAAATGCAAATTTGGGCCAAGACATAACACAAAGTAGACTAACAAATTAAAGAGCCGTTCAACTAATGAAGGTCCCACGAGCAATACTAATTAATAGTTGCTTCTTATGGCCCAATTTATTTTCGGATCTAGCCAATCAATTATGGTATCGATAAACATTTCACTCATCGACCGAAACCTATGAAATTAATACAACCGTTTAAACATCATACTTGGAATTTTTGGGTATCAAACCCTACAAATCTTCACATTGATATCCAATGAACTTGCAAACAAACAACACCAAGTTTATACTAACTTAATTAAGGTAACAAAATAAAATTGGAAATCACAAACCTTATATATGTCTTGGATTCAAAACACTTACCATATCTGCTCCATGTACTCACCAAAGACTAAAGTCAAGAACCCCATTACAATCAAATATACACAATAATCAATTAAGAACACACAATAACACACCGTTATAATACATGTGATGAAAATATACCATAGAATAATACACAGACATTTCAACAAGTTTAACACATAAAGAACATTAGATTAACACCAAATTAATCAAATAAATGGTTAACCAATACATAAATGACCCTAAGAAAATATCTTACCACAATTATCCTAACCCATTCCGTGTAGCTCATATCTAGAGAACATATTTCTCGTCTCATTGCCAACCATACTCACTAGATTGGTCAAGTGCTTCATGCTTAACTGGTAAACCACTACTTATCCTAAGTCAATGGGATGTTCATCTATCGCTATTTCACCTCTCTCAATCTAATAAAATATAATGAGTCACCATCTAATAGAGGCGATAAGATGGTCACTATCTCACTCCACGCAATCAGTATTCTAAAATACAGAGGATTCCAAACATTTAATCACCTATCTTCTCGGGATCAAATGTCTTCTCCCCACCCCAGACATATCACCAATGCACTCTTAGACATNTGCTAATGCACAAACTAAAGTAAGAACACATTCAGTGTTAATCCTCACAATAGTAATCACAACCACCATGTATGCAACACATTTTACACAGTAATGTGATCATTCTCAAATTTATGCAAATATACATATCAAATATAATGAAATGTAACATAAAATAATGCACCAGAAGCAATCACTCGTGCAAATGAGATTTCATACGGAAGCAAATGCGGTAATAGATTTTATTATCAATAAAACTCACTCATGTCATAATTAGACCTACGTCAATAGCTCCATGCTTTCTTTCCTTCGAATTAAAATTCAATCAAGTAGAGCACTCCCGGTTTTTTTATCATTTGATAACCAGAGTCATTCTTTGATAAATGATCACTATGAGTCAGACTCAATAGAATTTGATCAATCTTTTTTTCTGTCGTTAAGGTGGAGAATTGAACCCTAGTCAAGCCCCCCCTTTTCACAGCAATAATCGGGAAAGGGGATATGGATTAGATCAAACAAAGGGGGAAATAGGGGTCTATAATAGATAGTGATTCGCGCTCACCTTATCTTTCTGCTTATTTTTCCTTTTAGGATAGTCACTTATAAAATGTCCAGACTTATCGCAGTTATAACACTACTTACCATTCATTCCGAACTTAGACATATCCCAACTTTTACTCTTCTTTTTATCACTCTCATCACTCTAGTCACTACTCGTTCGTGATTGTTTACTTCAAATGTGTTCTACTCCTCATCATTTTTCTTATCAAGTTTTAAAGCTTTAGTCTCGATCTATTTACTCCTAAGGGAATATAAAATGATCTCAAGTGTTAAGGTGTCACTACCATACTTAATTTTATTCCGTACCTCTTTATAAGTGTCAGACATGAAATTAAGCAAAATTATGGCTTTATATGTCTCAGTCACTGTTTCATCACAATTAAAAATATCTTGCACAATTTTGTTAAATACATTTAGATTGTTGTCCAAATTCTTTAAATGATGTATTTTAAAATTGAAAAATCTCTCGAGTAAGTAAAGTTTGTTAGTATTAAAATTAAGCATATACAAGTTCTTTTGTGATTTTAAGTTTATCAACTTTTCTCAAAATAGCATCATATTAGTGTAAAATAATTGAAGAATAAAAAAGCTCATTAGATTGTCAAACGAGTAAAGTTCAAGTATTTTGACGAAATAATCAGCACAACAAATAGGTACGCCACAAAAGAATTTCTCACCCAATGCAAGTCTAACACATTTTAGAGAGATGCAAAAAGGGCAAATAATTCATAAATTTGTAATTATATCAAAGAATCACACTTAACAATTTCCAAACGCTTCAAACACATAAAATAGGGCAAATAATTCATAAATTTTAGTAACAGGCAATGGTTACCCCACACGGTAACCCCAAACCTAATGACTAACCACATGATGCCTGTTAGTATGGAAATTAAAAAATGATAATCCAATTTACCGAACGGACCAATTTGTTGGTTCGTAAATAAAGAGAGATGCAAATTTTACGACTTTAGGACAATCACTATTCGCCCCAAAGTTTCAGCAACACGATCAGTCAGAACTTGAAACTCGAACGTCCATGGGAAAAAGGGTCCAGATCATCGTATCACCTAAAACAAGAAATGGACACCACAAACAGCTCTGTAGAACTATCAGGAATGTTCTATCTAAAGAGATAGTCGTTGAAAAATGTGTCACGTGCTGCCACATGTCGATAGTTCTTCTGTGCATGGGCCTCACGTGCTGCCATGTTGAAGCCTCCATGTGCCAACTTACAGGGTGCACCTTGTCGTCTGAAATCAGAATATGACTTCTTTTTCTCCACTTGACTTCTGATTAGTTGGAAAACTAGATTTAAGTTGCGGTTGGTTTGATCTTCAACTGTTTCTGTACGATTTTTGCTTCTTCTTCTGCATAGGTTTGAATTCAATCGATTTTGCACAATTTCTAGACTGCTTTTGCAAAACATATTGCTCTTATACCATTTGTTGCGAAAATACACCAAGAACTTTGATTTCGAGCACAAATCGAGCTCAGTCATAAACCACAAATCAAACACCACAATGATTTTTTCGACCCAAACAAATCTTAACTACAGTTGCCTAATAATATTGACCGACAAAGGATAAAATAATAGTGGTTGCAATTTCACAAAGGGAGAATAAAATAGGCATTTGTTCAACACAAAGTCACCAAGAATCGACCGCCCTCTTTTTCTCTCTTGCAAAACACGGTTTCTTCACAAACAAGAGGCTAATATATATAGTTTTAGGGCGAGGTAAAGGGATGAACCAAACACAAATTTGGGCCAAGACAAAACACAAAGTGGGCTAACAAATTAAAGGGCCATCCAACTATGAACGGATCATAACCAGCACAAATTAATAGTTGCTTCCAGTGGTCCAATTTTGCTCCCGTTCGGCCTCAATTATTCCACATTATAATGAGAGGAATAATAATTTTTTGGAGAATGTGTTTCTATTAAAGTAGTTTTTTTTTTTTTTGAATTTACATGTAATACTATTTTATTAAAGAATGTAATGTTAATATGAAAAGAGAAAAAAATGAATTATAATTTAATGGAGAATAATGGGGGCCAAACGTGGGCTTATTTTCGGGTCGAGCCAATCAATTATGATGATAAATATTTCACTCATCAATTTAAGCTTATGAAATTAATCCAATCGTTTAAACATTATAGCCCGAATTTATTGTGTATCAAAATCCAACATTAAGAATTACAAAAATCAAGTTGGAGGGGAAGAAATTTGATAACTCAAGCAACTAGATGGAACTCAGATTTCCTTCCTTAATCGAACTCCTTTCCACCTTGCCATTGCATTGCTTTCCCAAACTTATGAAGGTTAGTGCACACACAATAAAGCAACTTGATGGTGTATTGGTTAGCTTTGTTTGTAAGGGCATAATTTCAAAAGACTGACGCTAGGTTTAAAAGTAGTTGCAACACTAGCAAAGTCTAGTTCTAGGAGTAGTTGTGACCAAAGTCTAGTTTCGATTTGGAACAACAATATGTTGTTGGTGGGCTCGTGTCTTGTGGTGATTCGATCGAGATTTAATAAAGTGACTAGAGAAGGGTACTATTTTATTTATTTTAACCGTAAATAAGGGTATAATATGTCTTTTCATGAAAAAAAAATTGACTTTATAACAGTCGATGAATGGATTTTGTCCATGATGACCAACACCGAACAAAAACACCGCACCAAAACAAATAAGTTGGGGACTCTACGCGGCTAAGAAAATATGTTAGAGACAAATTTGCAACAAGTCCTATAGATTGTGGACCAACAGAACAATTGTACTATATAATGGCTCTCTTGTAGTTTCCGAGAATCCCAAGGGCACATGCGTATCCGCCTCTTCCTTTAGCCCCACTACCGACTCCAATCCCCACCACTACCTCTGAGCTGCGGGCCTAACGAATCCCGGCAGAGATTCCAATTTCAGTGCAGGGAGAGACAAAAGTCTGTTAAACAAGGAAAAGCCCAAAAAACCAAATAATGTGCCCGATAAAACACAAACAAAAGCACCACCACCGCCGTAGCGCCCCCGCGACCTCAAATACGGCCGCCGCTACTGCCACAGTGGAAGACTGGAGAGACGAATCGATAAATGGGGGATCCTTAAAACACGTGGACCTCCAGAATGGATCCAACGGCTGGGCCTCTCCACCAGGCGAAGTATTCTCTCTTCGGGGCCCCAATTATTTTGCCAAGAAATCCAAAGTGCCGGCTGGCGATTGGTTGCTGAACTCGGCCGGAGTCGACTGGCTACGATCCAATTCCAAGATCGATCATGTTCTCTCCAGGCCCGATAACCGTGTAATGGCTGCTTTGAGAAGCTCGAAAACCCTAGAAAAATCATCCAAAACCTTCATTCTCGCGGTAAATTTACAGGTTCCGGGCCGGGATCATCACAGTGCGGTATTTTATTTTTCAAGTAAAGTGGATGAGCCCATTGATCCAAATTCACTACTTCATCAATTCATTCATGGGTCCGATGCATTTAGGGATAGTAGATTCAAGATAGTGACTAAAATTGTGAAGGGACCTTGGCTTGTGAAAACTGCTGTGGGGAATTATTCCGCTTGCTTATTGGGTAAAGCTTTAAAATGTTATTACCATAGGGGACCGAATTATTTGGAAATAGATGTTGATATTGGTAGCTCAGCTATTGCCACAGCGATTTTGCGCCTTGCTTTGGGATGTGTCACGGCGGTGACTGTGGACATGGGGTTTCTGGTGGAGTCGCAATCTGAGGAGGAGTTGCCTGAGAGATTGTTTGGGGCGGTGAGGATTTGTCAAATGGAAATGAGTTCTGCAACCTTTGTTGATAGTGCTACGCCTTCCAGTAAAGTCTTGCCAATGGATAGTGGAGGAAGTGAAAATGAAGATGTTTAGAGGGCTTGTTATTACTCTGATTAAGTAAGTTTCTGAATTTTCATATTGGCCATGGACAAAAATGATCAGCTAAATTGAAATCCATTCTCAATGGAGAGTAATGGATGTGGATAATAACTGTTAGGTGAAACTGTTGAATAATTTTTCTGTACTTTGAAAATAACTTATTTACTCTCAACTAGAGTTTAAAAGTATAATAGCTGCTTAATTTTCCAGTTGCTGTGTGATAAACTGGTTACAGATGGAAATGCAAGAAATTGCTGGCAGCATTGTTCTAAATCTTGATGGTAATATGTATATCGTGTTTTTGATAATGGACTATGAGGTGCCATTTAAAGACTAATTTGGCACATGAAAATTGTTTTCAAGAGCCAGTTCTTTCTATGATGCCATGATAAGCTGGCATTTGCTTATGGTGTTTATTAATTATATGCCCTGGCCTATTCCGTCTTGCTTGGTGCAATCCGACATGCTTTGATAATAGAAATGACAATTTGCAGTATTATTTTCAGCCTTTCTTGGTTAAATATGTGTTAGAAGTTGGGTGATCTTTAATGATTCTATCGGGCAATTAAATTATTTTTTGGTTAATCTTATGTTCTTATTTGCGAACGAAACCATAATCCTTTGATAGCATCCTCACATTCTTCTGATAACTATTTGGAAGAAAATCGTCTGATCGCTAGTGAATTGTGAGTAGTGAAAACTTGCAGTTGGACAAATATTCTGAATTGTAATTTTCACTTTTGCTTGAAGGTGACAAACTATTCTTTAGGAGTGATATGAATAAGGAGTTTTTGCAACTAGCATGGGAATGTACTTTGTAAATGACCACCCGAGTTTAAGTTCCTAGCTTGCCTCTTATTGCCAATTCAAGGAAGAAACGATATTCATATTTTTGATCTTATGGGTGTGGGCCAAATTATTACTCTTTAGTTTTGAATGTATTTTTGTTTGTTTTGTTGATGTTTGGTTTTGAGTAAAGATTGAAATCTGGGATTTGATTGATTAATGGATTGCGACGTGTTTCTGTCCATTACTGTAAGGGATGTTTTAGCTTCGGTCGGATTAGGATTTGTCTATTCACAAACCAAAAGGCAAGTCATGGCCAAAATGTACTTTAATATCTTTTCTTGGACTCGAATCTAAGTTACATCAATGAATTTGTATTCCTAGAGTCTATACTGCTATCTTGCACAGAAACGAGTTTTCCTTTGTTGGTTTGCTTAATTTGCGTGCGAGTCATGTTCTTGCTGTGTGACTATGTTGTGGAAATATCTATTGTTTGTAGTCCTCGTGAGCAATCTTATGGTCGATGAGATGTCATTTGTGTTGTGATTGACTACTCGTGTCGAGGTACAAGCTGAGCGCACTGTTCGAAATGGAGTCTTCGTGTGGACTTGGTTAGGGTCCTTGAGGATGAAAATCGAATCTAAGGTGGTGCTATAGTGGTGGTGGTAGACGGTGGAGATGTTAAGTCTTTGGAGGAAACTTGATGCTTGAATTAGTTGAAAGGGTTCTTGAATTTTTAAATTTTCGTTGACAAAAGTGCAGGTTGTGGTCAGTCTGATTATGATGGGGCTCCAAAAACGACTTCCATTGCCTCCACATTTTTAGTCAATTATGATTTAGTCAAAAATTAGTGAGAATAAAGATTAATTATTGTCATTATGGAGTAATTAAGAATAATTCAATTAAGAAATAATCTGCCAAAGAACTTATTGTTTGCTTTCAGCACAATATGGCGTAGTGGCTTTTCTTTTACTTGTACAAAAATGGCTTACAACCATTATATTGGAATTCGGGATAAGAATTATTCAGAATATACAAAAATTCAAGATCGTTATTAGATTCTGCTTGTATGTTATAATCAAGATACTTAATTAAGAAACTACACAAATTTGTGGGCGTGTTCGGTAGAGATTAAAATCAGATTAAAATTGAAAAAATAGCCGTTATTGTTGACTTTTATTAGACAAGTAAGACCCAATGACGGCTATATTTTCAATTTTAATCCGATTTTAATCTTTGCCAGACGAGCACTCGATAATCAAATCTTAATCCGACCCGAATCATGAACTTTCAACTTTATAGATCATGAACTTTAAATTTTTTATTTCAAGAATTTGATGATTTAAACTTCCAACTTGGTTTTTTACACTGAAGATTATATCGATATGTAGGCACCATCTTCTAATTAAATTAAAATTTTGATTTCTAGACTGGATGAATCTAGAAAAATCAAGAAAATAGATTTCTAATTTTTTATTTTTATTTTTTCCTCCAGGAAAATGTGTTTCATGTTTTTCCAATGGAGAATTCGGCCTCCATAAGGCTGATGTTTATAGGAAAAAAAAAAAAAAAAAAACCCTTCTCAAAGTCAAAGTAGGCCTCAATTGGATTAGTTACACATTTAGTCCATAAAAATTTAATTACAATTAAGCCAAAAACTTTCCAAATAATTGTAATTGAGTTCAAAACCTTTTCGTTATACCATAGGAAATTGATTGGATATATATATTATTCAAACTCAAATAATTAGATTATGTCTAGTTGATCCCAGAACACAAATCTAATTATTAGCCTTTACTTTTTTTTAAAAGTAAAATACTGCACTATTGGAATATCTAAGATCAAAGAAGTTACACACACACAAAAACATACAATTGTCATAATTTTCACTAACTTAAGTATCATTTTCTCAACAGTCATATTAATTAATCATAGATGTAGAAGTCTAACGAAAGAGCTCAGATTTATAATCGTTCAATACAAAACACTTAAGTACATCACTCAATCCATTTTTCAAGGCAACAGTTTCCGACACGAATTCTTATTTCTATCCTACTCATTCTCAAGTTCTCAATTCACCAAAATATTTAATCAATCAAAATTAGTCTCAATGATTGCAATCAAATAATCATTAGAGTCATGAAAAGATACACACAATCTTGTTCAGGGATTTAGATGAAATACCCAATGATCAAGCATTATTTAATTCTCTACATACTCGTACTATAGAATTAAACTCTCTGTTCAATACACTCCAAATATACTGATGTTACATTTGACTATTTCTGGGATAAGGATAAATCGCAAAATCGAATAGTAAATCAATCAACGCTGCAACATTCCAGCACAAGGTACCAACACGTAAGCATTGGTTGTGAACAAAAAAATTTTGATCGAAATTTAAATTGGGTCACATTTTATTCCTCTATGCAAGCATCCAACTTATTATCACAAGTGATCATAGACAATTAGTATGTTGAATATTAAATAAATACAATAGCACGATAGAAATAAAACACTACAATTCAATGATTAGAACATGTTATTTTATCAAGAAAAATTTATTATATGGTCACACAACTCAACACCACTTGATATATCCTATTAAGACTAATGTTCCACCAACACTAGCATTGTTGACACTTGGACATGATTGGTATGCGATATTGAATTGTCCTATAGTTTGTTAGTATATTTTCCTTAGAATCGAGATACCAAGATCAACTTATCACAGAGTCGCGATTTATTTTTCCTAATCTATTGCAATTAGGAGAAAAAATGGGATAAAACTGAACTTGGATTGATTACAAATAAAAGAGCAATTTTCCTGCTTACAGTTACACACAAGCTTAAGTTATACCTATATAGCAAATTTCTTTCGACACTAGCATATTTCTTTGACTGAATCATTTCAGTCTAAAATTATTGTTACACACTATATTAATTGCTTTCTTGAATGTATATGCAGGTATGTTCTTTAACATCCTCCAGGTGCAAATCCTAACTGCCCTCCTGCAACATCATACACCACCTCCAACGTCTTCTGTTGGACATTTCCGATAATCCCGACATCCGAGGCATCACTGTTTTCCGCAAATGCCAAGCATACATTGGACGAGTTAATAGCAATAAGTATTCCCGAAAACGCTAAATCCACTTTCACATTGCCACCAAAAGTAAAAACGATCTTTGGAATGTGTACTGTGGTATATTTGTTAAAATTATAACACGTATCCAATATCGAGTAGGCTGGTGCACTTGGATACATTTTCATCTGTTTCCTGAACTCAGTTGTCAAAGCGTCGTAGGCTGCAGGAGGAAGTCGAGTTATGACTGTACCAGAGTCTATGATCGTGCCTGTAGTCTTGAATATGGATGGTCTAATAGGCAATTGAGTCGTGCCTACACTGATTCCTAGAATGTCGATGAAATAGAATGATGTACTTTGTGAGCCAACAAAAGGGGTGAATTTCATATTGCGTGAAACTCCACCCTTTCCAAATGTCAAGTGTCCAGTTGAGGATGATGATGATGGGAGACAATATGAGAAGTATTTTCCATATCTTTGTGCTGTTTGGGACACGATAGAAAGAGCGTCCCGGCCAAGGCCTAATAAGCCGGCCGTGTTTCCAAACAGGCCTTGGTTGTTTTGGCCACATCCAAAGTAGAAGTTTGGAACTACATCCGATGATGATATGGTCAATGTGTCTTGACTAAAGAATCCTATAGAGAAGGATTGGTCACCATATTGTATGCCATACACACATGTTTTGGTGGAGCAACCAGGGTTGTTTCCTGTGGTCGAGGAGAGTCGAGAACATTGAGTCGAACTACACGATACATTTGAATATGTGGTTGATTCAGTAGGGTTGAAAACTGGATCTTGTTGTTCATAGCAAACGCGTGCACATGGTTCACATTGAGTCCATGTTAAGTCACTGCCAGTGTCAAAAATCAAAGATAGGGATTTCTTGGGTGTTCCAAGGCTAAGGCTTACGATGTAGTTTCCCGAGCCAAGTGCTTCACCAGATTCCACTAGAAGGGCTGCCTTCTTATTCTTAATCTTAATTTTGTCCGTCTCTATCTTGGGATTGATCTTGTACTGGATCGAGTCAACACGAGACTGGTCATGGGTCAGTATCTCATCGAGGGATGGGGTGGCCTTGTCTTGGCTGTGTTTAGAACATGGACCATGCCTGTGGACAACTTTCAATGTAGATGGCCTCTTGCTGGGACCTGATCAATTAGGACAACATATTTGAGCATTTTCTTAATAATATGTTATAATTAACATCTTACCGATACTTGTGAAAGAAAGATGAAGAATGAAGTTTTTCAAATAGTGGTTTAGTGGGGTCTTCTCTGGTTAATAATTGATCAAAGGAAAGGTACTAAAGAACCAGGACCATACCACACACTGATAGTTACTTGAACAAGTGAATTGCTTCTAAAAGAAGGAAAAGAAAAGAAAAATTATTTTAAAATTAGGAGGATGTAAGCCAACAAATCAAAACTTCATGTTTAAAAACCATAAACGATAAATTTTTATTTTTTAAATAGTATTTTAATGCAATAAAGTTCCAATAGTGATTTTGAGATGCCTTCACACCCAACCCCTAACCCCATACGCTGGCCCCCTACCCCTACCACTACCCCTACCCCTATCATTAGGGGCTGAAAGGAAGTAGGTTAGACTTTAAATAACTAGATAATATTCATGTCCTCTCCATTATTTTATTTTTCTTTCTCTTTATTCTTAACCATACATGATTCAATAAAATAATATTACACGTTCGTCCAAAAATTTTCCTTATTATTTAACCACAAATTTTCAAAAAATTCGTTATTCCAAAATATATTTTCTCCAATATTTGTTTTTAATGAAGCCTAAACAACGGCTAGAAAAAATTTAAAATTTTATTTATCACACTTCTATTCGTTTTTGTCCAATTTTGCGTGTCAAAAAAATGTATAACTACAATTATTATTATTTCAATAAGAGTAGATTGCTTGAAAGGAAGAATAATTGAAGATTGGGATTTGATATTTAAAGAATACGACTAATTCAGTAAAATAATACTTAACATTTTTTTTTCTAAATTCTATAAAACCAATAATATGACTTGTTTTCAAAAGTGATATCATGTTGCAATTGACTGAATTAAGCTATCTTTTATCAAAATTGACTTGCAGAAGCCAACTTCTTACTGTGATATTAATTACTGTAAAATATGTAATTATTTGCAAATATTAAAGTTCAAGAATCATTATGGTAAATATGAAGCTTTAAAATTACTTTTTATATACTTTCACACTGCGTGGGCCACGTCATTCTCCCAAGAATGCATTTTAAATAGTGTTTTGATGGAAAATATGTGGTTAAAAATTAAAGAAAATATATGGATCATACTACAAGTACATAATCATTTATATAATACGTTACATAATTGACATGTGGCGTGCATCCTTCGATACTCTACAATTTTTGACTTTCCCACACTTCACATCCACGGCCGGATTTCTTTCACATAGGCCTATGTAATCCATTATGTATAATAATTATGTACATATAGATTTATCCTTATTTTATTGAAAATGTGTGATTGAAAATAAGAACGAGAAAAATGTATTTTAAAAGAATGAGTATCAAACATGGCGTTATATTCTAAAAAAAGGGTCTTCTATTGGTAACAAAAGAAACTTTGCTAAATGAGAGAAAAAAAAGTTAGTAATTTAAAAGTAACTTATTCCGATTCCCAACCAAGCATCTGGTATGTGAGAAAAATAGAAGAATAAGTTGGTAAAAAACCATTAACCTCGATCTCCCATACCCTTTACATCTTCTTGATCGGAATCCTCAGACCAAGGTTAGACTCGACCCACAACAAAAGATTACGTAATATTTAAGAAAAGTCGATTTAAAAATACTTATATTCACTAATATCAATAAACAAACATGCATGCACGAGAGTAAAGGTAGAGATATATATAGAATTTGTATGTATAACCTGTGACGGAGGGGCTGCAGACTGAAGCTGGCAGTAGAGAGCTGATTTCAACAGTATGATAATGGCTTTCTATGGATTTTCTTCCTTCAGAAGCATGGCTTTTAATCAGTAAAAGTGAGAGAAAAGTGAAAGAAATAAGCAGAAAATTGAGGAGAGGGCAAGAAATGAGAGAAGCCATCAAGAATTCAAAAAAACTTGACTTGTAAGTTTATTGCCAAAACTATCATCATATATATAGAGAGAGAATTTCAAGCTGCCATGTCACCAAATATGACGAATTTATTCTTTAATATTTAACTTAAATATTGAAATATGATTGATTATTTGGTAAATTTGATTGAGACGTTTTGTTTATTGTAAATTTTTTATTATTTTAAAATCTATGTGAGTTTATTAGAGGCTACATGGGATGTTAGGCAGGTACAGCTCTCTTTTGGTTACGTACCCACTTTAGATAGAAAGGATACCAACCATTGATTTGAATTCAACTTGGCCCCCGTTTCAGTCACATCAAAATTTTTATTTTTATTTTTCTACTCATTTTCAGTCACACATTCTTCAATAAAATAATATTTTTTGATCACATCAATAATTTTTCTTTCTTTTTCAACAACACATTCTCCGTCAATCTACTATTCTAAAATATATTATTTCAAAATAATGTGACTCAAATACACCCTTATTCAAATTTCAAGAGCTCGAATCGAATAATGTTTATGTTTGTCTGGTCCATTTTTTAAAATTTATTTTCAAGAAGTCGTTTTATAAGATTCATAACTTTTACCAATCACACATTTCATCCATTTTTTAAATCAAAATCCACTAAAAATCTAATTTTTTAAGCCAAAAAGAGGCTTAGTTTGTAATAATTGTGTTGTATATTGGATTGTATAAAATTAAAGAGTTCATTAATTGTCTTTAATAGCTCTGTCCAGTCTAACGTATCAAATATGTGTCAGATAGATGCATCAACGCGACTCTCTTTTAGTCACATACTCGACTTTAATTTCATACCTTAAATAAATCGTTAGGCCAATAAATTTAGAGGCCAAGTGATTATTTTAATTATTATTCGAACAATAATAGTTTGTACATAACCAAAACTAATGAGATTGTTTCATTGGTCACTAGGAAGATAGATGCCAACAAATGAAAAAATTGTTTAATTTAATTTCAACTTTATATTCATTACAATCAAGACAAACACAACTTCACCAACATAAAAAATCTTATCTTTATCATACAACTTGTTTCTTCTCATTGGAATATTCATTTTTGTCCAAAACCCACACCTCCAAGAAAAAGAAAAGGGAATAAAGGAGAAACTTACTGAAATAAATCATTTTCAGAATATTTTAATTTCTTATATTAAAAATAAGACGTAATAAAATAACAAAAACGCAATAAAACATCAATACTAATTTCTCTTAATGGTTATGTGCAACATTTAATATAATGCGAAATATAAAAATTATTGAGGTTTAGGATTTCATCTTAAAATGTAATCTTACTGAAATGGGTTCTCAAAATCCTAATGATTACTATTTTCAGACACAATACACTGCACAATGCAATAAATTTTGTATTAAGATAAAATCCACAGATAGAAATATAAATCACGTACAAGTGTTTGAACTACTACACTTAGGATTTGTTTGGGAGAGCTTTTTTTATCCAAAAAATTTGATTTTTTGACCATTTTCACATCAAACGGGTCCTATATAGAGATAGAAAGTCAAAGAATTCGACTGCAGGTCATTCCAACGGTCTGAGAAGCAATGAAAAATGGCTAAAAATTGGAAACAGACAAGTTCTTAGTAAATTTTACTTTCTAACATGAAATTCCGAGGTCCAATATAGAATTATAGCTCATTCAACTCAAACGAGCAAGTACGATATGTTTAAAGTACGAATCAGCATTTTGATTTCAAGAATAGTGAACTCGAACGTGCCACCATGTAGCAAGCCATATAAAGATAGAAATATTAATCGTTTGAGCTACTTCCCGATCATACGTGGAGTGTACACATACTCATAAATATATGTATGGGTATATGTTACACACAAAGCACCTACTAGATATATAGAGGCACTAAAAAATGAATTTGAGTCCATTATTAGTGTTGGAAGTGGGGCTGTTTGGTGGAGCTCCAAACAAAGGAAACAAACAAAATTTATTATAACCAAAAAACAGGGATGAGTGCAAGAAATGCATGAGAACAAGTCACAGTCCAAAAATCTATGGGTTGAAATATGACAAATGGGCACTGAATTATTACTCTGATGTGTGATGACAACTGTTGCGCATGAACCTTGCAAATAGATTGTGTTATCTACAAATTTATTTATCTCATATTATTATTCTTTAAATAAAGTTGAATGTACTAATGTTTTTTATTCAAAAGTTCGATCCCTTCAACCGGTAATAATTGCATAAAAACTTTGATAACATGAAAAATCATTTTTCAATCGAAACTTTGAGAAATGGTACCGATAATTTTTACCTTTCTTTTCCACGTGAATCACTAGCTGACTTGTACGTGTTTGGAGATGCTATTGCCAGACTGACGGACATATCGTTAGAATTAGCACAATTATTTTCTATTTCATCTCTTGATGAATTTGTGTTTTTATTGTTATTGTTATTATTATCGTTATCTTATTATTTTTATTTCTGTCCCTTTCGGTGCATTGTGTTGGAAACTTCTCAGAACAAATGTCCAAGTCAAGACGATGAGTGAGAAGAAAGTTACAAATAGTCAACCTAAGTTGGTGTAGCCCCTCCATTATGCTAAAATGGGTCAATTTTTCACACACTGTTACATACATTCACTCACATTAATTGGTGACTTTCCACCATTAGCTATTAGGTAATAAGGTTAGGAGATGTCACCAAAAAAGGTTGAAAAAGGAGTTTCTGTGTGCAATCGATAGTCTCGAGAGTCGACTTAAAAATATGTTTGGGAGTTGTTTATATAT